AGCAGCCGGAGCGAGGGCCGGGGCGGACCCCAGTCCCCCTCAGGGCCCAGGCTGGCCGGGCCTGGCAGAGCTCCGCGGTGTGCTCCGCGCTCTCCCTCAGCGCCGGGCTCGGTATCCCCAGCTGAGGTCGGCTGCGAAGATTTCCTGGAAAGGCCTCTGATTTCTGTTAGCGCTTCGGTGGGCGCGTAGCGGAGGCCGTTGTTGGCGGAAATCCGTGACCCCGCAGCGCGGCTTGGTGTGATACCAGCGGAATCGCGCGTAAAAACAGCGGGTTATTGGGATTGTTCCTTCGGCGGTGTCACTGCATGCAAAACCGACCCTAGCGATAGCCTGTAAGTTGCGTGGTAGGTAACCGTGTAGCTCAGGGACAGAAATGTGTAAGGAAAAATGGACAGCAGTAGAGTCTGACAAAGCTTGTTGGCAGCAGTGCTGTTTCGTTGTGTCCTCCCCGCCGTGCTGGAGTGGCACAGCGCAGCTGAGGAGTCTGTCTGTCCGTCCGTCCGTCCGTCCGTCTGTTTTAACGCTGCATGCCCCACACTGGCTTCTCCAGGGGCATGTCTGGCTCCCTAGGAGCACTGCTGGCAGTGTATGAAAAATGGACTTCCGGTTAACGGACTTGGATTATTAAGGTTAATTTTTTTCAATATCCTTAGAGGCAACTTATCCGAAGTCCCCCCAGCAAAGCCAGGAATAGAGTGTGGGCATAATACTAAAACCCACAGCGCAATTCCCTAGTTCACATGGTTTCAGTGGTAAAGTTAGTCCCTACGTTGTGTTACCGGTGTGTAGATTTAGAACATTTCTCTGCTGACTTCTCTGCCTGAAACGTCTTCTGTGGCCTTCATCTCTCTCTCTCTGTTTCTCTCGCAATGTTCCAATAAGTAATTTATAAAAATAAATACACCATGCGCTTGTTTCAAAGAATAGGGTGTGTCTTCTGCTTTACTGATATGGAGCTTTTCTGAAATACAAGCCAGTGACTTTCAAAACTTCAAAACCTGCTTTGTCTGATTGGAAGCAAATACAGAACAATCCAGCCTGAACTCCAGTTCAAGACTCAGCAAAGCTGAGTTTTGATAGCGCTTCAGGCAGCTCTGAGGGGTGTTACTGTGAGCCCAGGCTGATGAGATGAGGGAGGGCTGGACTCACCAGTATTTCCCCGGCTTCTCTCCAGGGATTGCTGGGGCTTTGAAGAGGAAGAGTAACAAAAGCTAATGGGAGTTCTGACAGAAATGGTTTCCCCCTGGAATTTCCCCTGGAATTTCACTGGTATTGATAGATCTGCGGATGACATCCACATATAAACGACTGTGCAGACTCGGAGATAAACCTTGAATTTTTCACTTTTTTTTTAATTATTATTTTTACTTATTCTATGGTGCTAAACACGTAACTTGGTTCTGAACATGCATCGTTTAAGATACGTGTGGTTTTCAGCATGCGGAGCCATACAGGAGTCACTTCAGATTCCAAGAGTGGGATAGTTGTTATTCACGACAGCATGTACAGGAAGGATCAAAGGTATGCAAATACATCTATTGCATAATACCATATATGGAGTGTTTTGAACATGGTTAATGTTTAATTGCGATGATTAAGATGTAAAGGAAATATTTTGCTAAGTGAATTTGGGATCCTCAAAATTTTCCCCATAAGAGCAAATTCTGAACAGCCTGAAAGTTCAGATCCCAGGGCTGTAACTGTTCTCTAAATGGCTGTGAAAGTAGCATTGTTTGGCACTATGTTTCTGTGTGACTTCTGAACAAAGCTGGTAACCTTGTTGAAGTAGAAAGATTATTTTATATATAAATATATATTTGTATATACACACACTGTGTAATCTGTAAACTTCATCCGAATGAGAAAGTCAAATGATCTTTTTCTTCTGTCATATTCACTAGTGCCAAGATTAAATGGACTTGATAGATATGTGACTTAATTGCTTTCTAGTTTGCTGATATCAGTGATAAACTTAAACATTTTGTGACTAGTAAATTTTATCTTCTTTACATAATTTTTCATTTTGAAAAGAGGAAGACTGGTATTTTATATCTCCTAAATATTCCTTGTGCTTGAATGAATTAATAAATGAACCAAACTGAAATGAAAACACTCTCTTTGTCTGTGAAATGATGATTATCATTTGCACAGATACAGGTTTTCAACATTTATCTAGTGGCTTCCTATAGTCATGCTAAAACTTTGAATAGAGGAAGATTGACATCTCCAGTCAGATTTTAACATACTGTGTTAAGTTTGACCGTAGTATGCTTTGTCATGATTTTAATTTTTAAGCTGTGGTTTGGGTTTTGGGGTTGGGTTTTTTTCTTTCTTTTTTCCAGAGAAAATAATTTAAATTGTATTTTAAAAATAATTTTAAATGTAAAAAACACCTACTTGTATTAAACCTGAGGAAAAGATTCTTTGGATATAGTTATACCCTTGCCCAGCCATCTACAGATTCGCAGTTGTTCCTTTATACTTTGCCTGTAATTTGAAACCAGATCCTGCAAATATTAATGCTGTGAGGATAATGAATAAACTAAAATAACAACATCAGGGAAAGGAAACATTTTAATGGATCTTCTGTATTAAAAAATTGTAACATAAACTTCATAATTAATAATTTTATAATTGGTTTGTTTTTTTCTCTAACCTCACTCTTTCTGGAAACAATTTTTACAACAGTGATGAGTTCTTGTAATATTTGAAATAAAGCCAAGTAGTGTTTATTTATGTTGTATTTAATAAATTGGAGTGGCATAGAATTTTGAGATGCTATTTCATGCAAAATTAATACAACTAATCATACAGTGTTTTCTGTGTTCATTTAAAATGGTAAGAGACCTTTCCACGGTAAAAAAGAAAAGTGCTGTTGTCATAAAGTTGCCTGTCTGATGTGAGGATTCTTGCCCCACTCCCCAATAGCAGTAACTGTTTCACTACCTCTGCCTCCCCCCAGATTTTGAAGAGGTTAAAGTAACTCCTTGTACATAGACCTGTTTTCCTTGCAAGTAATTTACTAAGGTGATTTGCTGAATGTGGTTGGTTTTCATCTGTTTGCAGGTACAGAAGCAAAATGTTTGTTTTGCAGTCAGTAGGTTATATTTCTTAGTTGCTGTGGAAACACTGATGGATGTACCGATGCATTCTTATCAACTTGGTAAGTTGCCTGTACCTTTATATTGTAAGAGGAGTAATAACGCTAATTTTTCACTAACACTCCTCCTGAGTTACTGAAGTAAGATACCATCATCTTATGGAGCTCTCCCTGGAATATTTACAGAATCAAGGATCTGGTGTATTACATTCTACACACTCTGTTCTATACAGAAACCTGATTTTTCACATAATAAAGAAATGCTTTGACACTGCATACTGCATTCTACCTATAAATGTCCAGTGAAGTCTTAGTTGGATGTGTTGTTTTTCATCTCTTATTCTAGCTTTTTTCAGGATTCCTTAGTTTCTGAATTAGCAGGCACAACAGACATAGCTTCTTAGCTGAGCCATAGTTATAGTGAGAAACTGCTTTCTCATAGGAACATTTAATTCTGTAAAAAAGATAGGATGGTAAAAAAAAGTTGCACATTTGATTTGCAAACCATCTTTATCTCTCCAGTCTTAATTTTCCCTGTTATCTGGTCTAAGATCTTTTTTCTTGTCTGTGTCTCTTATGTAAGAATGTAACCTACAAAATTTTGCAACTCTCCAACTATCTTTGCTGAGCGTGTTTGTTGAAACAAAGTTCTGAGGCAGCTTGAACTCTAGATGAATGGAATTTGATTCTGAGAGTTGAGAGGCATTTAAAAATCACAAATATTGACATAAAATTGTTGTTGTCATAAAATTGTCTAATCTGAGGATCCTTGAATAGAAAAACATTATGTCAGCAG